CTTCTAAGTTTAAGTTTTGTTGATTTGGCAACTGGTGTTTTTGGACTTTGTTGGATCACTTCAATTAACGCTCCTGGGAGTGCAGTTAAAACAGTTGTGGCTCCTGTATTTTACGAAAGTATGTGGTTGTGTATCCATATTTCTGAATGGCATCTTTTGATTTTGGCTGGCGAGCGATATATAGCAGTGGTATATCCTTTCCGTTATTTACAATTGGCATCTATCAGACGTGTTAACCTCGCCATAGCACTCGCGTATATAAACGGTTCAATAGTCGGTTTATGTGCAACATTCATTATTATTTTTATGGTAGATGATACAACATACTTATTAACTGATATTCTATTACATTTGTCAGCATTAATTTGTTTGTCATTTTCCCATTTAAAAGTATACACAGAAGCAAAACGACAAGTTTTGAAAATTTCTGCTCTTAAAAATCCGTCAAGAAATCTTCAAGACAAAGCAAAGAAAAGAAAAATCGAGCACCGCGCGTCGAAGACAACAGTGCTAGTATATGGTATATACATGATATGTTATTTTCCCTATATAACTTATAGGATACTATGTTTAATATTAACATATATAAAGAATGATGATACATTGCACATCAATCTAACATTGTTCGGTTATTTCAATATCCTTATTTATGCTAACGCAGGAATGAATCCAATCATCTACTCCAGTAGAAACAGAATTTTCATGAGAAATGCAATCGATTTAATAATTCGCCAAAGAGGAACAGCGTTGAATACATGAAATTGATGTTGATGGGTGGTTAGCGCTTCTTTATCAAGCTCGTCGATTTTTATGGTAATCGATGAATACAAGAATTGCCTGGTTTGTCCTTCAATGGTTCATAGATACAACTCCACAAAAATTCAATCTCTCGATTTAAAGTTAATCCTAACTAAACTACAGTAGTCCAGTTGTTACCTTCGTACGTCTGGATAATGATTCACATAGAAATCAGTCCTGTTAACTGGACTCTAACTGAATTTAAGTTCCAGGCCGTTGAAATGACAGGAACTGCAACGTAAAAACCCACCGTATTTTGTCAGTAAACATCGGTGCTGTTTATGGTTTTAAAAATATATAGCTTGTTTTAAGTGTGTTGAATGTCGGAAACAAATAACATAATTATTTTGTGCAAGGTGTTTTGTAGATAATGAGCTATCAAGCTCCTTGCATTTTTGTTTAATTTTTTTTGGAAAGTGTACATAAAAGAAATATTCATGCAGTTTATACAGTTTCAAAAGAAGTAAGAAAGGTTGGGGTCTTGTTTAAGTAAATACCAGATCCCAAGACGTGATTATGCATCATGAGGTAGTTACTCTGAAATCGAAGAGGGTTGATTAAAAGGTTGAATACTCTGATTTTGGAGTTTTCGAGTATAGGACGCAAAACCTCCGAAATTGGACTTTTGGCGGCTGGCGCAGACACTCAAAAAATGGATTAATGTGCCACCCAAATTTAATTGGCGCCCAAACTCTATTTTTATACTCTCTAATTAAATCGCTCGTTGGTGGCGGTGTCCAGAAGCCAGTAAAACAGGCAAACTGATAATTATTAATAATTACAAAAAAATAAATAAATAAAAAATGGATAGTAGTGGAATCTAATTCGGTTGTTGGATGTTGAATGATAATGTTGGAAAAGCAAGATACTTACTATTGTATAATATGGAAAAGTCATAGTCATAGATCACTGTAGAGTAACTATTGTATATTGGGTAATGTTCAGATTAATTTGCATCTCTATTCGATAACTTTATTGACAAAAAAATATTGTAACATTCACACAACTGATTGGCGGTGAGGGCTGGTCTGTTAGTCAACTTAATCACTAGGCAAAAAGCCACAGAATCACTCACATCCAATTACTGTATTGCTCTTTTTAAAATGAATCCAATGGCCGTACGCGCTGGCCGTACTCGACTGGAAGTTCTTCGTTAAACCACGCCCACATGCGCAGTGGTAAAATCCTACTTCGACCAGTCAAATAGAAAACTAATAAATACTCGACAAAAAAATGGCTGCATAGTTTCTGCAATACACGCTGCGTAATCAAGGTTGCTTCGGATTGTGGCAGTTTGGGCTTATAGCAAAAAAAAAAAAAAAAAATCATCCGGTCTATAATTAGCCTATTTTAGACTCCATTTGGGTAATTATTATAATTTTTATTTTCTGAAATTTAGTCTAAATTATATTAACGCAAATGTTGTTTCTAAACTGATTAATCGGCCATGTTTGTTTTAGTCACGTGGATAACTTAACGCTGATTAACGCACGCTGGTTACGGGTCTGGTTACGTTAATTTTTGTTGTCAACAAAGTCTATTTTTACGAACCAGTTGAATGAAAATAATACTCAACGAAAAATCGTAGTCAACGAAATGAACTAGTCGAATAAGCTCAATGACAATGCCTGATAAATCGCGTGTTTATTTATATATTCTATGTGAAAAGTGTTATCATCATATTCACCATTCTTATTACTTCGATGATGATCTAGACAACAACACACAATGCCATTTCTTCTTCCATGATTGACATGAAATAATGACTACTCGGTATACCATGGTCCCATCACGTTTACAAGATCGACGTGATCAAATAGATATATACACGCTCAAAATTAAACCTATGGCCATAGCATATTAGGAAAACAGTATGCCTACGTATAATATCCCCGTTTCATCTTTTGATTGTAATGAAAGTTTAGTCATACTGTATAATAAAATTAGCTCTACACGTTATCAAATTACTCATACATCGTTATTTAGTGACAGCAATCACAGCTCTTCTTTGGCTAACGACAGTTATAATTATTAATGTTCAATCTTTAGGAAAATAATATGTTAACCCATTATTTGGTTGTTATTATCACTCCACCACTCATGCGCAATTATAGAACTTCAGCGGCGGTGACATTATCCGCTTGAAAAAATTATTTTCCTCTCATTTGTGGTTCGATCAAGTACGGTAACACTATTGTATCTTGGAACATATTACTCTTGTTTATTTCTTTTAATTCCAATCAATCAGTAAATGTGTTTGATGGATTTAAATACAACACATCAAATCTCAGGCTCTGACAGCGATACCGAAACCCTGCCACTAGTCTTGAGAACTTTAATATCTCTTGTGATCATTGCTGGAAACTCTCTGGTTATATTTGTTTCTATAAAGAACAAAATGTATCTGAACATGAATAGGCGGATACTTTTAAGTTTAAGTATCGTTGATTTGACAGCTGGTGTTTCCGGTCTTTGCTGGGTCACTTTAATACACACTAAAGGGAGTACAGGTACAGGCATTGTGGCTTCTGTCGAAATTATGTGGTATTGTACCTATATTTCTGAATGTCATCTTTTGATTTTGACGGGCGAGCGATACATAGCCATAGTATACCCTTTCCGTTATTTACAATTGGCGTCTAACAAACGTGTTAACTTCGCAATTGCATTCGCGTGCATAAGCGGTACGGCAATTGGGTTATGCGCAACGATCCTGCTATTTACGGTACCTAACATAACATATCTAATTCAAATTGATATGCTTTCAAGATTGTTTACATTCGTATGTCTGTCATTTTCTCATATTAAAGTATACATCGAAGCAAAACGGCAAGTTTCGAAAATTTTTGCAATCAAAAATCCGTCGAGACATTGTCAAGAAACGGTGAAAAAAAGAAAAGTCGAGCACCGTGCGACGAAGACAACGATACTAGTATATGGTGCATACATGTTATGTTATATCCCGTATATATTGTATAGCATACAGTTTTTAATATCAACGTATTTGAAAAATGCGACATTTAAAGTCAACAATGCATTGTTCGGTTATTCCCTCATTTTTATTTATGCGAACGCAGGAATGAATCCAGTTATCTACTCCATTAGAAACAAAGGCTTTATGAGAAATTCAATCGATTCATTAGTGTGCAATCGAGAAAGAGGAACAACAGTGAACACATGAGATTTTAGAAATAATGATAAATACTCCGGTGTTGATTTGTCTTACTGGAGGTCTGTTGTATTGATCAATATCATTTTTTCCCATTTTACGGTACTGTAATTTGTAAATACTTGCCTTATTTTCCTTTAATTGTACCAGATGGATGAAACTGTACTATTAAAAAACAGTGTGCTACTGAAAAAACAATATTTGAGGGCTTGTCAATGGCCGTATTCGAGAGTCGACTGCGCAATGGTAAAATCCTACTTAACGAAGACGACCAGACGAATAGAAAACTTGTAAGTGACTGCCTAGTTACCGCGATAAACGATATAGCGTAATAAGGTTGCTACTGCTTGTGGCAGTATGGGTTTTTCGTCAAAAATCATGAAGTCTTTGAATTCTGTTAGCCTACTTGGGGTAGATATTTTAATTATTATTTTCTGAAATTTAAATTATATTAACGCACATGTTGTTGCTAAACTGACCAATCGGCCATGTTTGTTTTGGTCATGTGGATAACTTATTGCAAATTAACGCACTGTGGTTTACATTAATTTCCGTTGTCAACGAAGTCTATTTTACGAACCTGTCGAATTAAAATTATACTCAACGAAGAATCGTTGTCAACTAAACAACCAGTCGAATACGACCAATCATTGTTGAAATTCGGTATGAATATTTGTTATGTCGCCCTCTATAATTTATATAAAAACATATTTTAGACAGCAACAACACACTGAGGAAGAGACAAAAGCATCCTCCACTTCAGTATGCCACGAGGACTTGGGCCATGGAGATATCACCAGGTGTTTCCCCATAAATTACAGATAGGATGGAGATACAGTACATCTATTTTTATACCTCCATGGTTCGCCTGACTGTACTGCACCTCAGTTGGCATTTTGCCAAAAAATAACAAACACAGAGGCATAGTATGTACATTATAACGTACCATTATGTTACATTTAAAATGTTGTAGGCAGAGTTTGTACAGCTCTCTGGTTATGAGTAACAGAAAAAAATAAAACATGAACAGCAATTATTTTGTTATATTCAGGTTCACAAAGTTTAATTCTTATGGTACAAAAATAGGCACGTGTGTTTATATATATTATAATTCAGTTTCCAGACTGTTTTATGCACTAAATAATGCAAATAGAATAAAGTAATTGTACAGAATGTAATTGAATTAAAGCATAGTTAATGATTAATAAGCAAAAAGAAGGTAAATTGGAAATATTTTCTCACTGTTATCATTTACAACTTCTGGACTTACATGTACATATTACATTATTATTATTATTAAAAATGTTATAAAAAATTATATCTATGTTGATTTTTTTTTGTATTTATGCCAAAATAAACTGAAACAGTAAAAAGTGTAGAATTAGAAAATGTTGATATAAAAACAGTTTTAAAAATGTGAAATGTTTCTGATAATTCTCGAAAACTCATTCTAAGAACTATTCTTATGAATAAATTATTTTATAAAATAGTATATTAAGTTTGTCAATACTTAAATTAATTACTCAGCATAAAGGTAACCAGCAAAGCTTAGCAATATTATACAAAAACATAAACTAATAATTTTTTATTTGTCTAGAACACTACCGTAAAACCTCGAATAGATGCCCTGGGATTCATTATTTTTTTTGTGAACTTTGGATGGGCTTCTTTTCGAGGCTGCTTTTGCAAAGCAAAGAAGGGGGAGGGGGGGCTTCTTTTCAAAATGAATGCTGTAAATTTTGGAAATATGTACTATAAAACAATAAACGAGGCCACTGTACCATCAATCTGTGTCATGGAGTATATTAACTGGCATTAAATCACCTACTGAATAAACCAAGCTTGTTTTTACTTTATTTTGTTTTTTGAAATTCTTGTACAGTGTATGTACTGTACTATTTAGAACAGAAGCCTATGCTATCTTGAAATTTTGAGACAGCCTTCTTTTTGAGGCTAATTTTGCAAACTATAGAGGGGGCTTCAATTCGAGATGGGCGTCTTCTCAATATTAAGCCCATTGGACTTTAATTCAAGGTTTTACGGTATTTCAACAAAATGATTATTTGTAAGTCAAATATTACTCATCATTCAAAAGTATTCTGTAAAATTAATAGTCCAAAAACGATCTTTTTGTGTGTTTAAATTCTACAAAATATATAAAATGATAGTTTTTAGTTTACCCCCCAACTAATCGGGGGTCAACGCTTGTCCGACAGGGAAATTGTCCGATGACTTCCTCCCACCTCCAGTGCCACCAGTGTCTTAGATGCAAGCCAGGCTAGCTTAAATATTATATGTACACAGACATAGTTTTCAGATGAGAATTTTTTTTCTCTTTAAGAAACAAATGCAAGTTGAATAGAGTTATGCTATTATCACTAACATGTAGAGGGCGGTATTCCATAAATAGAAGAAACTCTGTACAATACAAAGATTATTGGACATATTTAGAAAAACAAACACTGTAGATTTCAGGGATGAACACTCACTTACAAATAAATGAAAACATGATGAAACTAGATGAATTAAAATCAGTTTGGAAGACTAATTTAGATTTGATCGCACAGTGAAATGAACTATTTGTGGTCCCTTTGAAGACGTTAAAACTATATTACAGATACGCAAATATATATCCTTCTAATCTAGATGCAGAATATCAATTAAAGGCACGATAAAATATATAACACCTTTCTTATTTGAAAATATAGATCGCCTTAAAATTGTTAGGAAGCACCCTTACCTTTTCCAGAACTCCTATATATAAAGGACCTGTACAAATTTTACAGCAACTTCACACCCTGCTCATTCAAGCACATAGTAATACATTAGTTATGCTTGAACAGACATGATGATGACATCACTATGCTCATCAAAGCTATCCTATTGTACTTTAAATGCCTTTTGTTTTTCGATGAATGCCTCTTTCCTTAATTTCCTTGCTTCTTCTTCCCTTTTTCTCTCTTCTTGTTCTTCCCTGATTTCCTTCTCAAACTTATTTGATTCTTGTATTTGATTTATCTGTGAAAAATAATTTGAAAAAAGCTGATCATTATAATTCATTAAAAGTACTGAATTATGAAGATCACTCAAAAAATAAATCTTTTTTAAATAGATTAATACCAAATACAAATAGAAATGTATGTATTCTTGTACCATATCCTGAAGTACATACTTGTTTTTTAAGCATACAGTAAGCCTAAGCCACCGGGATGGGCATAAAAATCTGTTGGAGGGCCAACGTGAATAGCTGATTTAGTTGGGACGTAAAAAACAAGGTGTTTTCTACTCAAAAATGTTTGGCGGTCTGCACAAAAATCACTGTCAGGCTGCACTTTGCCCACCTGTGGAGTTTGGCAGTCATAACACGGAAAAAAAATAGAATCTGTGCTGCAGTACCTAGATCAAATTTCTAAGCCTCAAAAGCTTTATCTACCATTTAACGGCATTGTTTAAGTATGTTGTTGTCAAAATATTTTGGTTGAAATAAACCCCGCAAGTTGTCCAAGTAAGTATTTATAAATTAGTGACATAGTGGACATGGAAAGCAATGGGAATATTCTGTTTGAAATGTTCGTCGGAAGTAAAAACCTGATGAATCAATGTTCAGAAAAAAAAATAAAATAGTTTAAGTTAAAAATCAAATTGGAAATCATGTGCGATGCATGTAGGGCAATAACTTTTTATGCCAATTTGTAAATGAATAATTTATTAAATTAATGAATATTCGTAAGTTATAAGTACACCATACAGATAATGCGATTGGTCTAACAAGTTGTTACATTCTAAAAGTTGGCTGTCAAACTCTTGAGGGCTCTTGTCAACTGACCTTAGCTTCAAAAAAGTTTTTAGCACCACCCACTCCTTCTTCGTCTACATTGATTTCTGACAGTTGAGCTAGCTGACTCAAACCACTATCAGCATCCAGTTCCCCAGCAGCAGCTTTTCTAAAAATTAACAGAAACTGGGAAGAAAAAAAGATATCATGTTAAAAACTTCAATTATCTCCAAATAAATACCACTATTGGGACTGGGGTTCCCAAGCCTTTGGTTATATAGAAAAATAAACATAAAAGACATTTGTTAATTTGGGACCACAGAAAAGTGGTCTCTAACTTGAAGTGGTATTTAATTGGAGGGTCTTTAATTAGAAGATCTGTAATTAAATAATAAAAGTAATAATATCAAAAAGGAAAAAAAAAATCTAAAAGAAAGGAGGCTGAAAATTAAATTGAATACAGTATTTAAAATTATATAACCATCAACTATTCATAATAATGAACTTAACAAAAATATAAAAGCAGTTACGTTGTTTTGCCATAAGACGGCCGTGTATATTGCATCATCATCACACAATTTTTACCGTTAACATCCCTGCCTACAGTACATAACCTTCAACAAAATCATTGCCATATTTTTCACCTCTGTCTTTGCTACTAAATTAACCTTCACACTACATACATTTACCTCCGTAAATATTAATTAATCGTTATTATTACCTCCCTAAAGCTTATTTTTTCATCAAGATCTTCATCAACTTCTTTTATCATCTTCTTGAGGGACAGGTGGGTCTGCGGTGCTTCCAGCTTTTCCATCATTCTTTTCAATTCCATTAAGTCAATGTATTTATCATTACCTGTGTCATACCTGTCAATCAAATGTAAAACACATAACAATGGCAATGAAACTGAAACTTACAAATTACTTTTAATATTACATTATACTTTAACAATCATGTTCAGACACAATTTTCTTTTGAAATTAATCAAAGAAGAGAGTTTCCAACCTTCCGGTTTCCCACTGCCCGATGTATATACAGTATTCTTATTTCTATATCATACTGTACCGGTCATTTTTAATACAGTAGTTTGCCAATTGAAACTCAGCAACTTTAAAAAAACAGATACTATTGCATTTATTCAACAGAAAAATTAAATAGAGTTTTTATGAATTTTTAAGTTTAATATTTTATGTCATCGTTTTTCAATTTTTGGGCAGATGAAACTATTTGGTGATAACTTGTTCCTGCTTCGTCTGACACCCCCCATTCCCCACTCCCCTTCCTCTATACTATTGATGTTTTTTGGAGGTAAGAGTAAGAGTAATTATTTTTCCAGGATTTGAAAGTGTTCAAGAGAGTTTTTATTTGCCTTTTTATATTTATATTATGCGTACTAATAAAGTAACCACATGGGGATTTGGTTATCAGGACAATGTGTGGTACTGACTTTTTAGTGAAATTTCTAGGACAGGTCTTATGCACCTGTCAATTGTAGTCCAGGCCCCTCTGGACCCTGGCCATAGCGGGGCACTAGCCGGGACTGAGCTGGGGACGTACACATAGTTGTGTCCTCGTAGTGCCGGGACGTACATAAAATTTACCCGTAGATTTAACAGGAAAGGAAGGGCCGGGAATTTTACATGTTAGAGTAGCCGCTGTTTCGGGTGTGTAGGGCCTAGCCTAAGCCTAGTGTTGTCAAACCAGGTCTGGTCCTACCTAGCCTACGCTAGGCTAGGCATTCAGTTAGCAACTACTGTGTGTTTTGTTTTAGTAATTAAAAAATTGCCTACCGGTACTTTAGGCCTACCATCATGGTTTTATTTTTATAGATCACGGTATAAATATAAAATTTGAATCTCCAACCACACAACGCCGAGGACCGAGGTGGCGACACGTGTGAGTGTGTTGCGTGAAAATTTGTGAACCGTGAATTTGACCTAGTTTGCGCAAAAAATACGCCAGCACATGAGCCAAGGAGGCAAGGAAATCTGTTTCTACTACATGTATTCATTTTCTTATTTAGGCCTAATTTCTGTTTTGATATTGAATAATTAAATTCTATCAGTTAAATCAATCAATCAATCATTTTCTTTTTCTATGATCAATCTGTCAACACTCCTTTGTTTTCACACTTTCCAAACTTCCATGGTAAATTGCATAGTGATATGCATGCGTAGTGCTTCCATCAAGCAAGCTCATCTCCTAGGCCTAGCTCCTGCCTAGCTCTCACATGCTTTTACGATTCAGACCTAGGCAGGCTAGACCTTCAAGTAGGTCTTATCATCCAATCATTTATCAGCGGGGCATTTTACCGGGACCACAGCGGTAAGTGGCGGGGACTTAGCCGGGGATGTACGTTAAAACGATGCCCCGCATTGCAGGGAGGTGGCCAGGACATATAGTGTGTCATACAACTGACGGCTGCATAACGATGATGGTGATGATTATGATGACAACAATGATGATGATAACAGTGAATAGATGATAAATGATAAAATATAAATTTCAGTATTCCTACAGCATTCACAGTAACTTTAAATCCCCTTGACATCAGAAAGCATTTATGGTAATACATTAACCCTCTCCATTGGCCTTGTGTGTTGCTATGGCATCTGTACACTCAGTTACTGTTGAAAGAGGTCCTTTGCACTTTATAAGTGTTCTCAACTTACATTCAAGTGACATATTATATATAATCCCAGCTGTCTAATTTTTTTGTAGTAGTAGGCAACTACAGTAATCCAAAAATGCTACACTTCATTCAAATTTCAATAATAATTTATTTTACATAAAAACTATATGCAGTTGAACAATGATTCGATGTTGTAAACTTTGGGCTACGGAAACTAATTTTTGAGAAGAATTGAACCAATATCAGTAATACCGGTATTTGAAATTATCTTTACATATGTATCATAATATACTGTCTTAAAATATAATTATATTATCCTCATACTTAATGTGGAAGGCAAGATCTCTAAACTTTCTTTTTTGATACTTTGATGATATAAGCTTTATTTTAACACGGAAAAACTTGTTTCAACTAGAGTTGTTCTTCTACAAGTCCGTGTAGGAGAAGCAAAAAATTAATCTAATTGAAATTAACATAGCATTTTGCTAATTGAACAACTTAAAGAAAACCAAAAATACAATTGATACAATTTTCAATATGGAAATGTCGACATTCTGTAACCCAGACCCCCAGCAACTCCACTACTAGTACCTCACAACCTGATCCATATGAGGCCAGAAAAGGGATTTTTAAGTAAAAACGTGATCAAAATATTATGAAAGAAATGTTCGAGTCCTGTACATTCTCTTTAAATATGATTTAATTTAAAATAAATCAAAATGTAATAAATAAAATATGAACATTTTATTGAAAAAATTGTTTTTTTAAATGTTTTGAAAATTTATTTAAATGTAAGATAGAATCACAAGTTCCAAATTTAGAAATTCAAAGATGATGAGTCACCAGAAAAATAGGACAAAATAAATCGGCCTCAACAGGAAGCCAGGCGGAAACATTTACTTTCCTTAACGAAAATGGGGAAAAAAACCATCAAAACAAAACAAACCAGAATTTATTTAAAATTATTCTATTGGTATTCTATTTCTCTTAGAAAATTAGAATAAATCACAAAGCTCTTTTCTTGCCTTAATGAAGTCTCATTATGAGGCTTAGAGAATACGCTGCTGTTTATGAGAAAAATCAGTTTGATAGGATTTAAACTAAGGACCAGAAATTAGATGAAGGGCAATATTCCAGCTTCATTTCATATGTTAATTCCTAATAATACTGTACAAAATAAACATCTTGTATCTTATAATAAATTTAGTAATGAATTGTTTAAGATTATTTTGTTTGAAGCATCATGTTGCCTGTCAAATACTGAATTAGGGATCAAGAATACAGCAAAGGGTGACTCAGCTAAAATAAAGAAAACATGAAACTAATTTTAATAAAATGAAACATTTTTAGGATGAGAATGTCAGGCAGGCATTGTTAGCAGACAAATGAGAAGGGAAAGTTGTAAATAACAGCAGGGCTCAGATGTCATAATAAAACTAGTATGGTACAATTTATAAGGAAGTATCATGTTAAAGTTTTGTGGGGAAAAAAATGTGAAAAAAAGAACCAGGAAATAATTAAATAAGTACTTTGTATTTTATCTACTTCAAACAGGATGGGCTTGCTCTATGGCTTTAAACACTGAAACACAATGGGTACATTCTAGATAAGCAATACAATGGTAGTGTATGCATAAGAAATATTGATAATCTGAACGGGGTTTTACCTATATTATTTGATTATACAGTACCTATAAATGTTTTAGCCTTTGTTGAAATATTATTCACAACTACAGTATACCTACAGTATGATTTAGTTTGGCTCAACAAATTATTAGGACACAGAATCCAGCATTTTGAAACCAGGAGGATGCCAGAGGATCGGATGCTTCAGTACTTTAATATTATGACTGTTTTATGACTCTCAGGCGCTCCCCCACCCCCAACTCCTAAGCATTGTCACTGATATGATTTGAATACTTCCAGCAGCAGTGCTTCCAGCGGCAGTGCCAAGTTGCCCAACATGGCCTCTGGTACGACAGTGGGGTCTGGTAAAGTTTCCATAGGTTCAAGGGCGAACCTCTGGCGGTGGGGTCTGGGGGGTGTCATTTCTCTGGTGCCTAGAGATACTGGGAAGTTTTGGGCCATTTTACACTGTTCTGAGACAATTTAGAACCCATTTATACCAAATTTTTTTTAAATTAATATTTTTATTTTGGTCTGACAAATCGAAGCAGCCAAAAGGCTTAGCCTGTCTGACAGAGCTGATAATTAAGGCTCTCCACTCTTGGCCGCCTAATATTATAGGAATACATCACATGATCTATAAATGTTTTTTTTAATACTGCCACTTCCTATAATCTTATACTATCCTTTGGTCAATGAGATAATACTTGAATTATCTTCAGTTTTGTTTAATAGTTTCACGGATAAAGAAAATATATATGATAAGAACAGTCATAAGTACACATGCAAACAAACCACCTGTAATTTACAGCTTGCACTGTTCAATTAAAATGAAAAATTTTCAATACAAATATTCCACTCAACCAAAAGTTGGTTAGTAAATGTATATTAATGGCAACATGGGCTGAGGAGGAACATGTTTCCACTTTACAATACATGCAACAAGGAACAAATTTTACAGCAGTAGAACAATTATTTATTTTGATTAATTTGTTGGAATGCAGTATTAGAAACTGTGATAAAAGCTACAGAATCAAAACAGAAGTAGGCCCAATACTGACTAGTTATACAATATGTCATATGAATATAGTACCTGTATTGACCAGTATGAGGAAGTAGCAAGGTATTTTGAACAATATAACCCGGGCTAGGCCCAGGGGCTAAAAATGTCACAGTTGAATAAACCTATTCAATCAACCCTGCACACCATGAGGCCTAGGCCTAAAAATCTTCCTATCCTCCTATTAGCTAGAGAAATACACAATTTTCAGTAAAAAAAGGCAGAGCATATTTTACGTAGCAGCTACTAACTAAGCGTTCATTGAACGACAGGTTGTTTTTATCGTATTACTTTATTGATGTAATTTTAAACACCAAACTTACTTTTTAAACATTTTCTCGTATTCTTTGATTTGCTTCCTTGTAAATTCTTTGAACTCCGTATACGGGTTCCACGGGCCTGACTTGTTTGCGGGCACCTCCTGCCCTTCGTTGATCGCATCCCGTCTGGCTAATTTCTCAGCTAGTTCGTTTGTCGCCATCTTCACGTTTGCAACAAAGTAAAACACGTTTTTAACGCAAGGTTTTGATCTACGAATGTTTAATGTCTTCAGAATATGAGCACGATTTACCCCAGTTTTTCCGACTTGTAGAATAAATTTGTGTAATGTGTATTTATCATCTAACAGGTTGGCTTACATCTACAACTTCCCTTAGCGAATGTTTCCTTCACATACCACCAACTGCCACAATGTAAACTATCGCGACTCTCCCTGTAATCAGGAAGTTCTTTTTAGGTTAAAGTTCGACTAATCTATTAATTTTTGTTGCGGGTGCAGTATTATAAATTATATAAACTGTTTCAATAAACATTAATAGATGAGAATAAACAGTAAGTGTCATTTGTTGCCACAATGACTTTATACCAGATGTAAGATACACAGCGATTATCTTAAAATTATGGGGAGTGTGGTTTTGTGGTACAAGGAAGTAAAACAATACCCCTTTAAAGGTATGGAAGTGGCGCAACCTCAAGAAAAAGTTTCGTTTGTTTTGGTCTAACTTTAGATCTTAAATCATTTTAAAAAACAGACAAAACAATATAGGCCCTACCGTTCCAAAATGATTCAAGGTTCCTCTCCGGGTTTTAACGTTGTTTTCCGTTACACTTTTTTTTAAAAAATTAAATAAAAAATTGTAGCGGAAACAGTAAACTTTGCCCAGGCTCAGTGTTCTTATTTTTTTAATTTTATTTATTTATTCATTTATTTTGCCAATTTCAGGCTCAAAATGTGCTTATTTGTTCTTATTTTACACTCTTTTCTAAGATACTTAAATACTGAAATCTTTATTCAACATTTTAATTTTTATATATTGTTATCTTGATGTACTATATTATGATAATGTCTTAATTGTATCTTGTCATCTGTTTTGGAGTTGTTTTCGTTTTCAGTGCATATTTCACTTGTCATGTTAATGTATTTATTTTTTACCTATATGGAACAAATGATATTTTTTGTAATAAAATGTTAATGACTCAAAAATGTACTCACTACCATTTCCATATTGGACACTAATAACATTGAATTTGAGTCTTAATCTGAATCTGGTACAAGATGAGTATTGTAGAGCAGTATATTGCTGTTATGTATGAGGGTATTACATAGTCATACACCTTAGTGTGACTTAATTTTAAAAAATAAACCTCACTGTTACTTTAGATTTTATTGGAATCACCTTTATTAGTGGCACACATTCAAAATGATTGTGTATCCAATGCCTCCAAAAGAGAAAAATCAACAGTAAATTGAAAACAAAAATTATTGACGCCTAACTACTAAAATCGTTACAGGGCAAAAGGCTGACATTGCTTAAGAAACAGGAAAGAAGGTGTACTCGTTTTCTTACGACCATGGTAGGCGTGGTAAACCTGAGACAACTAATTGTCTCTGTTATCGTACGTACCATGGCTGATACAGTGAAATATCAGTGTGCCGCCCTCTTTTGGTGGGTAAGTACTGTAAAGTTGACTTAAGTATTTTTAAGCGCGGCTGGATGGGAAGGTGTATAAAGTTCTAATTATATATGAGATTGAACAGAGGTTTTCTTTATTATTATTGGAAGAACTTTAGTATTTTAGCCCCATTTTTGGTAAAATTGTAAAAATAAAACCTACTTCATATTCAAATTGAAGTCTGAGAGGATAATTTTCGACCACCTAAAGAGGTGCTTTCTATATTGGGGTGGTTGAGGTGGTGTAAGTCCCCGCCTATGAAAGTCCTTCTCCACTTGTAATGTACCTCCCTGGTCCCTTTTTTTAAATTTCTGGATCTTTAATTGATATTCAATTTTTTTACTACGAAAAGGAAGAAATAATAGAGACAGGGCCTTCTCGGAATAAAATATATTCGTAAGATGCCAAAAAACGTCTTTTATTTGTATAGGCTATTCTGACAGTGACTATTTATTATGATTTAAAACTTTTTACAAATTAGTTTCCCGCTTACAAAAAACAGAAGGGGGTGAAAAAGAGACGATGTGTGTGGCCTTCCTCATATTAATTTGAGCTTTCCACAGAAATACATTCTTCTGAATTATGAAAAGAATATATGAATTATACTGTACATTATTTAATTTATTTATTTTTGAATTTTTTATTAAAATTCAACTCACAACACAGAATAAACAATAGTAAGCAAGATGAAAGTACACCTATAATAGTTCATCCATCTAAACATAACATATAACATTACAATAAAAGTAGGCCTAAATAAAATAAATTATACTCATCAATTATAGGCTTAAGTGCAGTTTAAAATTTTGTATTATATTCCATTTCGTATGCTAAAAAATGAAGAACTGGAGAAGGTACCTCGATCTGATTATTACTTAGATTGACATGATTATCTAGTTCATGAATGATGATGAAAATAACTGTAGAAATGAAAAAAAGTACATCAACATGATAATACACTTCCAACAAATTTATCTGATTTATATTTTATTTTTTTCAAATGATTAATAAAACCTTATACATATTTACATATTTACAATATACAAGTACTGTTTGTTACAATTACATTGATCATAATGAGATTAATAAACTATAATTTCTTGAGATTACAATAAAAAAAACGACCAAATGTCTTGAAATCTACATATATCTGTAATTTAGTTATATAAAATTCAAATAATTCACGAAAAATAATTAATAAAATTATAACATAAACTAGAACACTTTATAGAGTGCATACTGTACCTCTGTGACTGAATACATGCATGCTGTGTATGATGGGCAATTCCATTATTTTTCTTAGTGTACATGGGTAAAAAAAATTGAATTTCTGTGTCCTTACCCTTCATTTCATTTCTTTAGGCACGAGGGCCAAGGATATGCCAATAAGTGAACTTAATCACTGTCCTACGTGGCATATCCATTTAACAACAGGGGACTTAATGGACCAGTACACCGGGGTAACCCC